TGATCTGTTTCACGTTGCTGCTGATCTGTTTCACGTTGCTGCTGATCCGTTTCACGTTGCTGCTGATCTGTTTCATGTTGATGTGTTCATGTGTGCTCATCTGCTCACACAGACTCATGTTCGTGCTGCTGTTCGACGTAATGTTTTTATGCTGTTAGTGCTTAGTTGATGTTTTTCTTAGTTCATATCTTAGATCTCATCATTGTTTTTCTTTTACATTTTATTGTTGGATGTAACTGGGACCCCGTGTACATAATTTCACTCCACCACATGTACCACATGAGGTGCGAATGACAATAAAGAATCTGACTCTGACGCACGGCGGTGGCCATCTTGGATTCTGATGTGGGAATCCAGTTTTTAATAGTGACCTTTCTTACACGTAGATGCAGCAACGCACCATAAAGTCGGTACCTCCTTTATTTTTCAAAGTTATTGTGCTAACAATATGCTCAGACGGACAGATGGAGGGTATTTTCACTCTTCACTCTTCGATGGGTTCAACTATGAACTTCTGTAAAAATGTCTATTAACGTAACAACAAAAAAGTTAAATTGTGTCACCTGGAGGGTCCAGATGACACAATTTAACCTTTTTTGTTGTCATCTACTTGGATGACTGTTTACAAACCTTTGTCTATTACCGTAACGTCCAGATTATAAACTCCTACTTTTTCACAGCTTTGAACACCAAGGATTAAACAACGCTGCAGCTAATTTATGGATTTTTTTTTTTTTTTGGGATGTGCTAACGAGCTTCCTGCCACCAAAACATTTAGCCTCGTCACACCCGGGCGCTCACATATACAATACACGTCTCTCTTGGGGGGTGGGTCCTCATGACTCAATGAGACTACCTGGTTAAATAACAGTAATAAAAAAAAAATTATCTGACTAATGAAATTACCGAACCCACCCCCTTCAACTTTCAAACTTTTTTAAAGTTTAAAAAAATCTTTCTATGTAAATATCTCATGTTACAACACGGACACCAGCAGCTTATAGACAAGTTTGGACTATATTTGTACAATTTGTTTTTCTGTTTAAAGTTAGTGGGCGTGGCTTATATTCAGGTGCACTCAATAATCTGGAAATTATGGTATGTTGCCGAGTTATGTACTTGTAAGCAGAATTAGGAGAACCATGCCGTCTCATTAGAACTTTGTATTAAAAGAGGGAACGATGAGCATCTCATCTGCCCTCAGAACAAATTGAGAGTAAAAAGTAAATCGGATGATGTTTTTCATTCCGTCTGTGCATTTCATCCGTTCTTAACAAACCAACATTCTACAGCTGGTCCAGCAGATCTTGATGAAAAGTGACTTTTCAATATTTGTGAAGTTGCAACAATGTAAACGTCTGTCGGTCGTATTAAAGCACCTTTTGAGTCAGTGTTTGTTGTAAAACTGGATCCAGTCTCTTATTTGAATTTGAATTAGAAGCTTTCATGGAGTGTTGGCTGTTTTACATGGTCCTGAAATTAACTGAGCAGGACGTCACTGAGTGTCCCCCCCCCGATGCACAGAACAGAGACTGATGCTACTGTCCTGATTTGTTAGGAGTCTAAATTCAGTACCTGCCGTCTCTGAGTCCAGGTTTTCTGCTGTAGCTTTAGGGAAGATGGCCTCAGCAGCCAGGATGCCGCTCTTCATAGCCGTGTGCGTCCCTTTGATCTTTGGCACATTCATGAACCCCGGGCTGCAGCCAATCAGCAGCCCCCCAGGGAAAGTTAGCTTTGGGATAGACTGAAGAAGAAGAAAATGAGAAACGGTTCACTTCAGTCGTTTGAACATTTCAGATTGTTTCCCTGCTTCACGGTCAGCGGGGGTTTGACACGAGCTGGTACGAGACTCAGACGGTACAAATGTGAGTAAAAACACCAGTATTACAGTATTAATACAAAAACAACTAAAATGTCTAGTATCTTATTAAAATCAAAGGAATGGTATGAAGGAAACATTTGCAGCTTTGACATTGTGAATTTTTTAACACATTGAAACCACTAACTGGCCCATGCCCAGTTTGAGTAAATGTTTTAAATAAACATAGTTACCAGACAAACTGGTATATTTAATTATCACTAGTGATAAAACGTTTCTACACATGACCCATTTGAAACTTAGCTTTAGCTTCACTCATACAGAGTAAAGTCTGTGTTGTAATCTGTGCATCTAACTATTAATAATAATAAACCTAATAAGAGATTAAAATGCTCTTTACAAACTTACATTTAATAAATAGAAAACAACACAACGCACCAGACCATAGAAATAAACCATCTTGATGGTCTTTTTCAGATGTTGTAAGAATGAATGCTCATTAAATTTACCTCAATTAATAATTCTGCTGCTGGCTTTGATAAAGAATAAAACTAAATAAAATAACAGGCCCCCGGAGAGAAAACTTTCTCTTAATTATCCGGTTGTCTCCCCGGTGACGCAGGCTAATTTAATCTAGACCAAAATGTCAATTGGACGGGTTTATAAGCTGTTAGTTTGATATAATATGTGTCTTGTTAACAAAAGAGAGGAGTGGTGAGTTTAAACAGATTTACAACTATGTCTGGTTTAAAACCTGAAATCCTCCCTCGTTTAAGGCTCTGGCTCCATAAGCAATCCTCTGGCCTCCCTCCAGTGTAGGAGCAATAAACGGGTGGTGCTTCCAGCGCTGAAACTCCTTGAAAGGACTCAGGTAAGGGTTTGAGTAGTCTAAACCCACCTGAGAGAGAGGGAGAGAATAAAACGTCAGCATTAGAGGTGCAAACCTGCAGACGTCTAGGAGAACGACTGAAGCTGCAGTTCCTGAACATTTAGAGGTCGTCCACACGGGAGCCGAGGAGTGTCAACACAAGCACCGTTTAGGAGTCTCCAATCAATCAATCAATCAATCAATCAATCAATCAATATATCCATCAATCCATCCATCTATACATCAATCAATCAATCAATCAATCAATATATCCATCCATCTATCCATCCATCGATCAGTCAATCAATCAATCAATCAATATATCCATCCAATCAATCAATCAATCAATCAATCAATCAATCAATCCATCCATCCATCTATCCATCCATCCATCAGTCCATCCATCCATCCATCAGTCCATCCATCCATCCATCAGTCCATCCGTCCATCCATCCATCCATCCATCCATCCATCCATCCATC